GATCACTTGCTATGATAGTGGTCACATTTATACTAATCATTTGATACAAGTTATATTTAGTAAATGACTAAAGAACACTATCTAACTTGGTTCCGAAAAATAAGTAGTTGGATTATGAGAAGTAACTGGATTGAAATTTTATTCAATGCATTTACTAGAGGTAGAATTGTAAATGAAACCACCACAGCGATAATATCTCCACAGAATCTTGGACCAGGTTATAGGGGAAAAAGTTAGAATTCTTTAAATTCCTATTATTATTGCTAACATTATTATGATTTCGTACATATATACATAAACCAGGTGTTAGTTCGAGGTCATCTAAATGGATTAGAAAGTGTGTTTTCCTAACCTAAACGAGACTGTATCAATTAATATTATGAGCACTAAACAATTCCTGAAATAAAATTTATTTGCATTTTACTTATTCTGTTTATTCTACACTTTTCACTCCGAATATGACTTCTTAGTAACCTTTAGTTTTCACCATACATGATCATATTAGACAATTCAACATGATCAGGTATTCCATTTCTACTTTAAACTTGTACTTTCATTCACATATAACATTCGTAACAATTTCAAACATTAAATCTTACGATTAGAATAACGTTTCATTTAGTATAGTACTACATTCCAAAGACCATAATACACATCATACAAGCACAGGTACTCCATCTCTTACTCCAAAATTGAGTATTTATAACTGAATTCATGTGTTTACTTAATAAGGATACTTTCATTAGACTATCTGTTCTATTTATGTACTTCAAAAGGTATAAATCCATTTTTCCTTACAGTTTCTATGCAATCACACTCGAATACTTACACTAAATTAATTGGAACAATTGAGTAACCACATAACATTTCTGTGAATCACTTGTTTTATTTGTCTCCTTTGATTTAGCATATTTTGTGATCATAGCTTATAACTTATGAATCATCAATTTATCTTAATATTTAATCTCTCGTTACTTTCATTTATTTGTTTTACATCTTTACGTGTTCCTTATGTCAGTAAATCGGAAAGTAGAGTTTAAGCATTATAATGCTTAGTAATATCTAGAGAAACTACTATATTATTTTAAGTAAACAAACGTTTTTGATGAAATTTATTCAAAATATCTTTAACATACCACATTGCAAACTAACTTGTCGAATATGGTATAGATAGATAAAACGATCACAGAAAAAATAATAAAAGAAAGTTAATATTAACCACGCGATTCTTTATTTCAAAGTTAAAATAAACATAACTAATAACGAAGGTGACCCGTGGTGTCATTGAAGAAGACTTAGAGGCAATGAAAATTTTCTCTTCGACGACATCATTTACTAAAGCTGTACAATATTATTTTTAATTTAAGTAACAAATAAAATAATCTATTGAAAAATAGAAGGATGACCACATCATATCGAAGAAAATTGTTCAATGATCGAAAATTTGGGGAAGAATAATAACATGAAATCAAATCAGTGAGAGATAATTGTCCACTTCTCGATTAGATCCTCATCAGGATTTACTCTAATATGCAGTAATATTTATATGCATATACGAAATTATTAAACTAATCAAGGCAGTTTGTGATTCAGTGATAACATAAACAAACATAATAAGTACAGAGTACAAATTAGTAGTATGATGATAGGTGTACTAGTTTTGATAAGAATAATAAAGGCTTGTATCCATGTTTCATAATGGGAATTAGGTCACTGATTTTAAACATATAGATTCTGAAATGCCATTCATGAAAACCATGAGATTACTTAATAAGAAGTGTTCAGATTATTGGACAATGTAGCTTATATTTGGGGGAAAAAATAGGTGGGAGTGGGGTGAAGAAAAATAATCGAACAACGAGTATGGGAAATAATAATAAATAGAATTAAATGATTTACGAAGGTATTCATTAAGAAGAGTGAAGACAGATTTAAAAATTTGGAGATTATGACAAATGATTAAAATTAAGATTACAACATTTGAAGAATGAAAATTAGCTGCTAGGGTAATGTAAGAATGAAATCTTGCACGTTTCTCTTTTACATACAGAGTTCAGCTTGGATGAATTGCTAATGACTCTACAGTGCACGAGTTATTAATTTGCCAATACCTTTAACTCTATAGATGATTTCGAAAGACTTGTCAGGTAGAGGCAAGTTCGCATGATATTCCGTTATTGAACGATTGATGGTTTCACACTCGTCTTTCTAAAGCCATACAAGATAATGTTTGGAGATTTGATTAGAAAGCGTGAGGTTAGTGTAGCCGCCTCCAAAGGAGCAAGTGAACTTATAAATACATATTATTGTGGCCAATAAGTTATTTTACTTTTTACATATCCACGAGTGACATGATAGGTGGAAAAGACAATGCGAAGCTTACCAGAGTACAAGTTTCTTTCAAAGATTTCGTTGGACGGTTTTTCCAAAGCTCTATAGTAGTATCTCACTTGAACTAAATGTTCATGAGTAGGGTTCTTTCAGGAACTATAGCAGGTCTTATATTTTAGTTTAGCTTCACATGTTTCCCTCAACAAACGTCGATGGATAGCAACTTTTACGAATATTTGTTAAAGCTAGGATGGTTCCTGATTTATCGTATCTTCAGAGCATATTCGTCTACACTTTGATAATAAAAATTGGATAAGATTTCTTTCATTGTTTAATGGCACCAAGTTCTGAGATTTTGTATATTGTTCACTTCAAGTTGGTTTTCTATATATCTATCTTTATAATGTACCATCTTGTCGTCTTTTTAATAAGATATTGAGGAAGTTAACTTCTTAATTCAACCTTGATTCCAATCTAAAATTAATTGATTTATGACGACTAAGGAACTAATTCAGAATGATATTGAGGGCACTATTAACACTGCAAGTTATGAAAGTGCCATCTATATCTTTTGTATTAGTGAAGCTAACGGTGGTCGCTTGGGGTACTGTATTCGCAAAATTGGCCATGAAACAATGTTCTAGAAGAAGACGCAGTGTTAAACTCACAGCTACAATGAATTTGACAAAGAATAGGCACAGTTTATATCTCAACTCGGAAAGAATTGAACTTCTGATGTCTCGTGACTTACACAAACCTATGTTTGACAAACGCAATCACAACTTAATCGACTGACTTCGATCAGGATCGAGGAAAAGACAATCATGACTGCGTTTTAGTGCGTGGAGATCAATTAATATAAATATCTTACAGGAGATTAGTTGCCGCTCAAATAGCTCAGTTGTAAATTCTCAGACTCTGAAACTGGGTAACGCATGTCCGAACATCACATAAAGTAATAGACCCATCAAGATTTACGATACGCTTTTGTAACAGGTGTAAGCTATCTCGAGACTCGTGTCTAGTGCCTCCTTCTGACAACTACAACCACCTAACATCAAAGTATAAGCTGTTTCTGAACATTATAAGGCGATGTAAGTTTTTACACTTCTAAGACTCCAAAGAAACCCAAGTACTTAACTTTTATAATCTGTGTATATTGCTACGGAAGCCCATTTTCAATCAGTTAAACGGCCAGTTGACTGTTAATTCTTTGTAAGGGATGGTTGTTTGTTTCAAAAGAAATTAAACTATTGAAGTTGAATTACTTCTACATTCAACTAGATAGGCACTTAGTTATCTTTAATTAATTTCGTATCCAGATTACACCCCAGTGTGTTTCCACCAGAAATAAATAAGATCAAAAGAAATACGTTTCTTGTAAATGCTTCTGGTTACATATTCTGTTTGGATATATCGACGTGTAAAATTGCGAAATTGAAAGCCATAATGTTTCTGAAATTACTGAACTTTTATAAAAAACAGTAGAAGGCGAAGAGTTAACAAATACTAGTAATGAGGCATCCATTCACCAAAAGCCATATCAGTTGACTACGTAAAAACAAAATTACAGCCCGAAGATATTATTAAGCAAAAGTATAAACGAATTATGAAGACAAACAATCAGAAATCATGAATTGTAGGTTGCTATTAAGTCGATTCCCAAATCAACGTGACAGTCACGTAGTACTATCACAGTCTTCTACACGCTTATCGTTTTTAGTTATTTACAAAATCACAATAATACTTAAAGATATATCGATCGAAAGTGTAAGCATATTAAATGGTATTAGTGAGAACTTAGAAATATTCTCCACTAGTAATAAGTCATTAATGATAGAATTTAATCGACCAGAATAAATTATGTGTTAATTTACCGAGGAGTGTGAGCTAACTATCACTAGTAAATGTAACTTTTTGATGGTATTATGAGTATTGATGTTTTGATATTTTGCTACTGATGTATCTGTAACAGTTGGCATTATTATTATACAACTTTTCTGAAGCTAGGACTACAATCTTTAAAACAGTGAAGATAATACAATCGTTGGATATGATATGAAGTATATTGTTTATCCTGCTTCCGTAATTCACAAACTAATCCTTAAAAACAGTAGTAAGCAGACAATCATAGCATTGTAATCCCAGCCAACCTCAATAATCGTGTTGCAACAAAATGAACATCAAGATTTCTCTATGTACTACATTCATGTTAAACATTTTGTGTTTGATAAGAAATCGATTGTGTCTATTCATTTTATGGGATCGACAATAAAAACTTTGAATTTTATGTAAGACATGTTGATCAGATGTTTGAGGTTAGACATTGACACCATTGGATGACGGCTCATTGATCCAGTAGGTTAAGCGTTCGCGCGCGAGACTGAAGGCCGTGGATTCGAATCCCGCGAGCGGGACAGTGGAGGAGCCCCACAATAAGACGAAACGACCGTCCAGTGCTTCCAAGTTTCCAATGGTGGTCTAACATTAATCGGTTCATGATCTCAATCAAAAAATAAACTTAATAGTTTGTCAATCGATATTAAGCTAAACAATCTAATTACTCAATGTAATATTTCAATATGACCTATCAACTTCTAAGTACTTTCAGATGATTGAATCTTTTCCAAATTAATTCCAAATAAATATTCAATATATAACATTATTTTATAATTAAATGAAATAGATCATGATATATTTTTGAATGTAAAAAATGAATAAGTAATATTGATAGGATAAATGAAAAAAAATTATGAAAATGTTGGACATGATAAAATAAAAAATTGTGTTTTCTTTGATTCAATCCATTTTAATAATTGTTTACGAATTTCACCTAATTCTGTTAGTGTAATCATTGGTTCTAATGTAGCATATAATTCGAAATGATCCGTTTTCTATAGAAAAGAAATATAATTTTTTTTTTAAAAAAAAAGATAAATTTGAGATTTGTATAACAATAGTTACATTATTCAATACTTTTAATTATTTTAAGTATTTTCCATCTATCTTGTAGACTTTTTTTTGAAAGAAAAAAAACTTCTTCTTTTATATTATTTTAACCACTTTGATAATCAACAAACATCTAAGAAAGATAACTTGAATAAGATGAAGCTATTTATTATATTTAATTGATATGATGGGATAAAAAGTCAAAATTAGATTGATTTATTCATTATGATCTTTTTAAAATTTAATATTAATTCCGTTTAATTCAATTTGATAATCATTCAGGATAGGTTTTGTTTGGTTTTCCCCTATGACATTTTATTCTATATAACATATGATATTCTTGTATGAAATATTATTTATATATGTGATTTATTCTAATTATTAATGAAAAATGGATGTACAAATCAATATATAAATGAGTGTATTTCCGACTAGACTTATCCTGGTTGCTCGTGCTACCAGCTACTTGCAGGATACATTTCTCCGTTTCAAACTTGGACTTCTCTCTCGTTAGCGAGGCTGAGATGTATCAAAATAGCTAGCTTATTGGTCTTTGGTCACAGTCTTTGTTCCGTTTGCAGACTAGGTAAACTCGTAATCGCTTCAAACATAGCATTAATATATTTAACATATTATCAGCGGGAAATTTCAATTTTAATTAGTTAATAAAACATTAAAATGTTATTTGATGAAGGAACAACTTTTGATATTAATGAATAATATGGACTAAAAAGTTTACAATATAGAGATTGAATAAATAACAAAATTTCTACGATAAAATAGGCCGCTTGAGGTTCTCGTAAAAATAAATAAGCCTAATAATTATTTAACCATAATATCATGATACAATTGACTGGATATTCATTTAAAAAAAAGTAAATCGTAAGGTTTTAGACTACATCTAAAATATACACAAATAAGTGATAGTATATCATTTGCACTACCAGATTCAATCTTTTATAACACAATGAATGGTATTACTGTGATTTTGACACCAAGAACAAAATGACATAACCAGTTTCGAGAGATTCTACTTATGTGCAAAAATTCATTGATACTACTGTTGGGATATTCAGAAAAATATCCCAAAAACAATTATCCGGTTAAGTCTAATGCTACCCTTGAACGTTAAATGGTGTCATTTCCCTATTGGTCGTTTCCCTACTAATCAATATTTATTTCGCGTGTCATTTCCCCATTGGTCAATATTATTTCACGTGTTATCTTTCTGTTGGTCAATATTTATAGTAATCCTAACTGTATAAATATGCATTTGTTTGTAAATCATTATTCGGCTCCTGACCCCATAAACAATTTTTCATCTACGGTTCGTGTTCTGATATATTGGAGATTGGGAACAGTATTGGGGTCGAACTGGGATATCTGAAGCTAGTCGATCGATAGAAATTAGAGTAGTCACCTCGCGATACACAATAATTTGGCGACGGAGATTTAGCAAAGAAGTTGGTGATTAATTATGGATCCAGCCAAACTAGAAAAATTGTTCGAACAGCAGTTGAAGCTGATGGAGATGATTGCTCACACGCACATATCTTCTCGAGTTCCAACTACACCGACAATTCCTGAATCAGTTGATGGTATTACCAGTGGTATTTCAGAATTCCTTTATGATCCTGATGCCAACATTACATTTGATACCTGGTTCAGACGTTATGAAGACCTTTTCAAAGTTGACTTTGCTGACAAAGATGATTCGTGGAAGGTGCGTCTCCTGCTTCGTAAACTTGGTCCATCCGAGCTGGATAAGTATTGCAACTTTATTCTACCGCAGAACCCACGTGACCGTTCATTCGACGCCACTATTCAGTCTCTTAGCCAACTTTTTGGTGATCATCACTCACTCTTCAGTACTCGATATCGCTGCTTAAAACTGATCATGAATGAGTCCGATGACTTCCTGACCCACGTCGGCGTTGTTAACCGTGAGTGCGAACGATTCAAGCTCAGATCCCTCACTGAAGACCAATTCAAGTCCTTAATACTCATATGCAGTCTTCAGTCACCCAAATTCTCCGACATCAGAACTCGTTTGCTAAACCGCCTTGAACAAGATCCAACACTGACACTCAATGCGATCATAGACGAGTACCAGCGCATCATCAATCTGCAGCGTGACACCACTTTGGTTCAATCTGGTGGCCAGGGTGGTTCCGAAGTTCATGCTGTTCAGCACCAAAGAAAATCTTCGAGATCGACGACCTCGAGTCTTTCGAACGCCAGCGCTGTTTCTGTCTCTAATCACTCTAAACCGGCTCAGAAGAAGCCCCCCTCTCCATGTTGGCACTGTGGAGCCTGGCATTATGTGCAGTTTTGTCCATTCAAACAGCATGTGTGCGATCGCTGTCAGAAAGTTGGTCACAAAAGCGGCTTTTGCAAATCCAACCGATCCAATAACCGTCGAAATGCACAGACGCAGCGTCGTTTTCACAAAAAGCCGATTACCTCATCAAGGAGTTTAGCAGCAGTCTTCCATACTCATGCCGCGACTCGACGCAAATTTCTGACCCTCTCAATCAATGGTCAGCCAGTTCGTTTGCAGTTGGACACTGCATCAGATATCACCATTCTGTCGAAAAAGACTTGGCGAACCTTGGGTCAACCTCCCATCAAACCATCCTCTCAGACAGCCGTCAGTGCCTGTGGGGTCATCTCCGCCTTCATGGTGAACTCTGTTGCTGCATTTCATTCAGAGGTACAACCTTCAATGGGACATGCTACATCACCAATTCCCCGCTCAATCTTTTAGGTTTAGATTGGTTCGAAGAACTTGGTCTCGCTGATCTTCCTATTAACGCTATCTGCAATCAAGTCCAAACTACTGCATCGACACAACAGCATGCTGAAGACCTTCGAAAACGATTTATTGAACTATTTCAGCCTGGTCTCGGACTTTGTACCACAACTGAAGCTGCTACTGTATTAGCGAATGCCATTCGAGCATGCCTGTTACCGCTGAAGATGTTCGGGAAGCTACCAGAGAAGACCCGATTATCCAAGAAGCGATCACCTATGTTCAGAGCAGATGGCCAGTTAAGCAGCTGAGTGGTGATATGCAACAGCTAGCGAATCGTCGCAGCGCTCTCTGTATTGTTAACGATTGTCTGATGTTCGGTGATCGCGTAGTAATTCCAACAACCCTACGTTCCAAAGTCCTACGCCAATTCCACTCTGGACACCCAGGGATAAACCGTATGAAATCCATCGCTCGAAGCTATGCATATTGGCCAAATATGGACAAGCAGATTGTCGACTTCGTCAAAAGATGTTCACATTGCCAAAAAGCTGCGAAAAATCCTCCTAAGTTGCCTCCAGTACCCTGGCCAAAGTCAGAAAAACCCTGGTCGCGAGTGCATATTGACTTCACCGGACCCCTAGATGGTACCACATATCTGATACTGGTTGACTCATACTCCAAATGGCCGGAGATATTGCCGATTGCGCCACCCTCTACAACTCGAACCATCAAACTCCTTAATCAGATCTTCGCTCAGCATGGTCTTCCAGAAACAATAGTAACAGACAATGGTTCGCAATTCACATCTAGCCAATTCCGAGAATTTTGCCTGCAAAATTCGATCAACCATGTCCGTTCTCCGCCATATCACCCGCAATCTAATGGACAAGCTGAAAGGTTCGTTGATACGTTTAAGCGAGCTATGCTTAAATCACGAAAGGAGGGGACCACAGAAGATATCATAGAACGATTCCTAGTTGCGTACCGGACGACCCCGCATGACTTATTGCCAAACTCCAAATCCCCTGCTGAGATGCTTATGGGGCGAAAGCTACGGACAGTTCATTGTGCGATGAAACCTAAGCAAGTGGCGCAACAAAACCCCCAGATGAAGAATACTCGAATTCCCTACGAAGTTGGTACAAAAGTGTACGCGCGAGACTATAGACACGGATGTGATAGATGGGTAGAGGGTGAAATCACAAAGAAACACGGGAACGTCATGTATGATGTCAAAGTGAACCAAGAAATCTGGACCAGGCACCACAATCAAGTCAGGCCAAGGGAAGCGAAGGAGAAAGAAGCAATTACAAAAAGCGTTCCACTCGACCTGCTGTTGGACACGTTTCAACTTCCGCCAATACCTCCAACAGAGACGACTAAGTCATCTACTCAAGTAGAACATCCTTCTGGTTCTGTGTGGTTGCCTCGGAGGTCGGATCGCAAAAGAAGACACCCAAAGAAACTTCAAGTAAATCCTCGATTACGTCGCTATTAACTTTTCCAAGGGGAGGTGTTGGGATATTCAGAAAAATATCCCAAAAACAATTATCCGGTTAAGTCTAATGCTACCCTTGAACGTTAAATGGTGTCATTTTCCTATTGGACGTTTCCCTACTAATCAATATTTATTTCGCGTGTCATTTCCCCATTGGTCAATATTATTTCACGTGTTATCTTTCTGTTGGTCAATATTTATAGTAATCCTAACTGTATAAATATGCATTTGTTTGTAAATCATTATTCGGCTCCTGACCCCATAAACAATTTTTCATCTACGGTTCGTGTTCTGATATATTGGAGATTGGGAACAGTATTGGGGTCGAACTGGGATATCTGAAGCTAGTCGATCGGTAGAAATTAGAGTAGTCACCTCGCGATACACAATAACTACTCAGCTAACGAATTAAAAATAGATGAAACGGGCTGGAAATCTGCCACCTACTTGGTTGCAATCCAAGGTCTATAACATACCTATTTAAAATATTTCCCCGTTTAGAACTCCTTATATGGATGTAGCAATATGTGTTGGTCACTTCAATGAATATTGATCCTAACTCATATCTTGAAGCAATTGACCAGGTCATTAAATGTCATCTAATGCAACAGGCCAATCAGAAATCAACAAATGATCAGTACATGTGACTAACTAGGGAACAGATTTCATCTTCACTAGTAGGCTTAATTTCCTAAGAGAGATATAAACATAGATTTACATTTATATGTAAGTACACAGAAATTTTTGAATAATTTTTTCCGATCAGTTTTTTAGCGAGTTAGTTATCTACGGGATGGGGTCGCTAGCCCCATACCCAACCCTCCCTGTTTATCCGGGCTTGGGACCGGCAGCAGCCCCAGAGGGGATCTGGGCGGAGTGGGACAGAGTGAGGTGGAGAATGCTTTCTTGCTTACTTACGCCTGTTACTCCCGATGGAGCATAGGCCGCCGACCAGCATTCTCCAATCCACTCTGTCATGGGCCTTCTTTTTTATTTCAATTCAATTCTTGTTCATTTTTCTCATGTCTATCTCCATCTCCCGGCGTAATCTGTTCTTTGGTCTTTCTCTTTTCCTTTTGCCTTGAGGATCCCATGTGAGGGCTTGTTATGTGACTCAGTTGGCTGCTTTCCACAATGTGTGTCCTATCGACTCCCAGCATTTCTTCCTTTACTAGGATCTGGTTTGTTCTCTCCCACAGTAGGTTGTTGCTAATAGTGTCCTGCCAAAGGATCTGAAGTATTTTACGTAGACAACTGTTAATAAACACCTATATCTCCTGGATGATGGCTTTCGTAGTTCTCTAGGTTTCCGCCCCATACAGTAGAACTGTCTTGACATTTGAATTGAAAATTCTGACTTTGGTGTTGGTTGCCAATTGTTTTGAGTTCCAGATGTTCTTCAGTTGTAAATATGCTGCTCTTGTTTTACCGATCCACACCTTCACATCTGCATCAGATCCACCATGTTTATCAATGATGCTGCCCATATCTAAAGGTTTTTACATCTTCCAAATATTCTCCATCAATTGCGATTGGATTGGTGCATACTGTATTGTATCGGAGAATCTTGCTTCACTCTTCGTGTATCTTGAGACCTACTGCTGCTACACTGGTTGTCTTCTCCTGCATTTGCGATAGGAGGGCCAGATCATCTGCGAAGTCTAGATCCTCCAACTGCATCCTAGATGTCCACTGCATTCCGTGTTTCCCTTCAGATGTCGACGTCTTCATGATCCAGTCGATCACCAGGAGAAAGAGAAAGGGTGAGAGTAAGCAACCTTGCCTGATACCGGTCTTTACATCAAACGACTTTTTCAACTGTCCTCCATGCACAATTTTGCAGTGTAATCCATCATAGGAATTCTGTATGATGTTGACTATTTTATGAGGCACGCCGTAGTGTCGAAGAAGCTTCCATAGTGTTGTTCTGTCCACGCTATCAAATGCTTTTTCGTAGTCAATGAAGTTGTTGTAGAGTGATGAATTCCATTCAATTGATTGTTCCACAATGATCAGTATAGTTGTGATTTGGCCTGTACACGATTTATCCTGACCGTTGGTCTCGAAGTTGGGCGTCTACGCAGTCCTTCATCCTGTTTAACAATACCCTGTTGAAGACTTTTCCCGGTATTGAGAGAAGAGTGATGCCCCTGTAGTTATCACAGTTGCTGAGATCGCCTTTCTTCGGTATTTTGATCAGGAGTCCTTCTTTCCAGTCTTTTGGAACTTGTTCCTCATCCCAAATCTTATTGAAGAGAATGTGGAGTATCCTTGCAGTTACCGCCACGTCTGCTTTCAGTGCCTCTGCTGGGATGTTGTCTGGTCCTTCTGCTTTGCCACTCTCGATTTGTCTGATGGCCATACTGATTTCTTCAATTGTTGGTGGGCCAACATCGATTGGGAGGTCCGTGGAGGCTGCCTCGATGTTGGGTGAGTTCAGTGAGGCTGGTCGATTCAAGAGTTCTTTGGAGTGTTCTACCTACCTGTTTCGTTGTTCTTCAATGTTGATGATTATCTTGCCTTTCTTGATTTTCACTGGTTTACAATAATTTCCAGCGACTTTCTTTGTTGTGTCATACAATTGTCTTATGTTTCCTTATCTTGCAACCTTTTCCGCCGTCATTGCTAAATCCTCCACATATTTACGTTTGTCAGTTCTGATACTCCTCTTCACTTGCTTGTTTACTTCTGTGTATTCAGCTTGTGCTTTGGCTTTCTCTGCTCCTGTTCGGCTGATATTGATTGCTGCCTTCTTGAATCTTATGCAGGGTATCAACAGTGATCCATTCCTTGTGATGGTGCTTATTGAGTAAATAAAACACATACATTTTGTTTGGTTCAGAGAGATTAACTAATCTTCTCACTCTCCAGTTTTTCTGTTGAGTAGCTGGGCTTGTGTAACGAAAGAATATGTATCATATATCACGTATATGACAAATGTATTTAGTCGTCAACATAGTTTGTTCCTATACCTAATTTCTTTTTAAATAACCTAATTTATTTAAATTTATAGGCTTTTTACAAATGATAAAACTGCAAATCGTTAAATTAACACTTCATTAACAATTATATTAGGATTTAATTATTCAAAATAAAAAGATAAAGTAGATTAAATGTTAATGAATAACGCTAAATCATCATCGTGTGAATTCTATTTATGTATAAAACAAAAAAACTCAAAACTAGTAAACTAACCCAGCCAAAAAATAATTCGGTACTTGTCACTTTGTAAATGAATCTTGTTGGTATTGCAGAGGAATGTAGTCTCATATGAAGTCGTTTATACGATAACAAAACATTATGACGCAATTTATTTACAATATTATCATCAAGAAGTTTAGTTTTTCTCTCGGGATCCATTCCAACTGGAGATTCGGTGGATAATTCATAAGCGATAGCATATGGCACAGTCCATTCACTGGCAATATATTGGCCGATTTGAATCGATTTATATACAAAATGCCGTAAATTCTTAATACCAGTATCAGAAATTTGTGGAAACTTTGAAGACATAATCGCAGATAAGTGATCACCGTTATTTGTAGTATTTAATAACTAGTAATAAAACGATAATAATAAACATAAAATCAGACATTTTTGATTTGACAAGCAATATAAAATGGTCAATTTACACTAACTTACTTACGCCTGTCACCTCTCGTAGAGGAGCATAAGCCAATCACCGGGATTCTGATCTTGATGTTGGTTGACAGACGTTTTGAGTTTTATATGTTCTTCAACTGTAGGAATGTCGTTTTTGTTTTGCCAATCCTTACTTTCATATCTGCATCTGATCCTCCTTGTTCATCGATGATACTGACCAGGTACGTGAAAGTTTCCTCCTCTTTCAACGTTTCTCCATCAAGTGTGATTGGGTTGGTGTTCCCCGTGTTGTAATTGAGGATCTTGTTTTTTACATTGTATATGTTGAGGCCTACTGATGCAGAGGCTGCTGCTACATTGGTTGTCTTCACCTGTATTTGTTCATGTGCATGGGATAGAAGAGCTAGTTCATTCGCGAAATCCAAATCGTCTAGCTGCATAAAAGCTGTCCACTGTATTCTAAGAAGTGGAGGTTTTCATAATTCAGTCGATCATTAGAAGAAAGAGAGAGGGAAACAGTAGGCAGACTTGTCTGACTCCGGTCCTCACTTAGAATACGTGTGTCAGCTGTCCTCCAGGTACCACTTTGCAGTGTAGACTCATTCATTATGATGTTTCTCGCGGCCCAGAACCTCCTGACACGTTAAAGTTACTGCTTCTTTGATCCCTTTTCAGTTGTACTCCATAGTAGTTTCTTTTTGAGATCTTGTAGGGCTTGGAACCTGTTGTTGAAAGTTATCTTGAATTCGTTGAGTTTGTCAGTATGTTGAAGGAAGGCTGTATTGAATCTTTGTAATGCTGTATGTCCAGCGCTTCTTTTGCTTCAGTTTCATCTAATCAACTACCAGGTGGTGATCTGAAGTTACTTCAGCTCCTCTCCTGGTTCTCAAGTTTTCCATTGACCTTCTGAATTTTTACTGATGCGGATATGACTTATCTGGTGAGACCCATGTAGCTTTTGTATGCGTTTGTGAGGGAATATAATGCTGCCCATAACAATTTTGTTCAATGCACATAAATTTGCAAATCTGCCACTATTTTCGTTCCTTTGTGCCAGTTCATGCTGTCCCATGATACCTTCATATCTAGTGTTGTCCATTCAGACTTTGGAGTTTGGATCTTCCATCGAGATGATTAGGTCCTTTCTTTGGTCACAGCCTCATAAATCTGATCCTTGTAATCTCCACTGTTCCTAATGGGTTTCACTTATTCCGAGAACCGAAAGGTTGCATCTTCTAGTTTCCGCAGCTAGTTGGTTGGTCTTCCTGACTTCTCGCATTGTCCGGACATTCCATGTGCCTATATTAATTGTTGATCTGGTTGTTAGAAGAGGCATCGGCATCGTGACTTCAGAAGAATCTCAGCTTCTAATATGAGTCATATTTCTCCTAAATGAAGATCCTTTAACTCGGAGGGCAGAGTCTAAATGATTGAATTTATTTTATCTGGTGAGCATTCTTTTAGGAAAGTTGTTTTTTACGGGCCATGGTTGCTGACCCTATGCCCATCACTTTTCCTTAACCCGAGATCGAGACCAGCAGTGACCCTAGAAGGGCTACAGGTAGAGTTATGAGCGAGCAGTAGATACATAGTGACAGAAAAATAACAGACTGGATAGCTATGTACGTGTTTATGGAATGGAAAACGGTAAACCAGTGCTACTTTGTGAGAGATGATTGAGTAAAGAGGATTACTCTGAATACAGACTTGACACTAAAATTTCCGAAGCAATTATTATTCCTTTTTAGCTGAATTTATATATTAAGAGTCAGGAAAATTCAATTAGAACGCTAATATACTATGGTCACTTCTAGAAAACTAAACTGTTATTATGAGCTAGGTGGATGGTGTTTTAATGCAACTAAATCCAAATACTCCCTAAATAGAGTAACTTTCAATTCAGCTTTAGTTTAATACTAACCACCATGGATTGAGAATAAACTAAAGACAACTTAACAATAAACATTTTTATAAGCTGCTACTCCCGATTACGGTTGCATTGAAAAATGTATGCAGTCAGTTACAACGTAGAACATGTACGTATGTATATAAATTCAAGTTGCCCCCAAATGCCCTGGTACGGCCGAGAGTGGGGAGGGTCCGCTCTTTCTCTCTCTCTCTCTCTCTCGAAATGCTCTCACGTGGCCACGCGTATATAGCCTCTGCCAGGGAAGTCCTACTCACTGCCTTCTCGTGGCGAGGGTGTTGTTTATAAAATTGGGAAGACGAAAAGTGAACGTCCGGTGCTTTAACCGGGTTGGTGGACATGGAGAGTCAACCTAAGGGAGTTGGAAAACCCTGATTCCAAATCGATGGTGCACATGAGCTCCAGTATCCTGAAAGAACAAATGGCATATGAACCAATCGTTGGTCACCGGCTACCATGTGACTGCTCCACTGACTTGTGGATCAGACCTTCAAGTCGAAGGCTCCAGGCGTGGCCCCTAAGGAAACCACCTGCTTCGGTTTGGGTACCCGGACAGTATCACAGCCCTTACATATATCAAATGAGATTTGAGTGGCGCATACGTCTTTGGTGCCTCCTTGTATCAATATTTATGTGTTAAAATAAATAAATTCAAGTTGCCATATCCAACCCGGAAGTTAGGACCTAATAACAGGGCTAAGTCCAATCGTCAGTAACTTCATTGATTGATGCCATGTTTTGGTTTGGTCATCCCTAGCTTCTTTTCACCCTACTCCGGCTCCAGAAAACGTCGCGCGTCGAGGTAGGCGGTAGTTGGGCATACATAACACATGTCCCAAACACATCCGTTGATGAGGATTCACTATCTCATCAATCGACTTCCGATCTTCACCTAATACTTTATTCCTAACCGAGGTATTGTTTGCTGTGTTGTCCCAAAATGCACGAGCAATACTTTATAGACACTTATGATTGAATACCAGCAACCTACAGATATCCTCTATTCTTAATCGCCATGTTTTACATGCCATAAGCTCTGACTAGACCAGTAGTGTTCAAGTAGAAAGCCTGTACAAGGTTAATGTACTTGTTTAGCACGCTTTTCAACAACAGACATTGCCACAGGACCTCACAATTAACGGAATGGAACGCTACCTTATAGTCAAGAAATACAACTATAGTTGGACGCCGAAAAGTATATCTATTCCAGAATTTGCCGAAGGGTGAATATTTGGTCAACAAATTCATGTCCGGGTCTGAAACCAGCCTGGTTTTCTCGGGTTCACTTTTCACGCGCTCTGGTTAGAAGTCGACTTATTATTGAAGCTAATATTTTATACATTATATTAGAGAAACTGATTCCCCTGTGATTATCATAAGAGGATTGTTGTCTTGTCCTTTCGAATTCTTACTGTTCCATTTAATCGAACAGCACATATGCGACTGTCTATTGGCATCCAGTCTGACAGCCTGCTTTAGAACTTAATGCTATACCTGAGTCAGCGAGGTCACCGGAGTAGCAGTGGAGTCTTTAGATACTCAGACGGTAAATCGTGACGGTTCTTTATACTGACAAGATGATGTCAAATGAATGACTGTACTTGGATCGTATATGCGCGTTTCGCAGAATACATCTATGGTGCGAGCTTTTAGAACCCAAGCTTAAGAAGCCTGTGTTCTTATCTGACACAAGGTTCGAACATTGAAAATTTCCTATGTAACCTAGAGCATGGTTTCAGGGGACCAGTAATAACATTTCGTGGACTCAAATAATTAGCATTGGTGGTGCGTGATGATAAAAATAAATTAGAAGAGTTAGTAGTGGGAATGGTAGAATTATTAGGGATGAGGGAGGGATTAACTCCGCCTGTAGCTCTTCTAGAGTTACTGTCGGTCCCAAGCCCGGGTAAAGGAGGAGGGTTGGGCATGGGGTTAGCATCCCCATCCCGTAGAAAACTAACTCGCTAAAAAAATGCTTACCAGAAAAAATAATTCAAACCATTTAAACTCTTCCCTATGAGTTAGAAGGTCTTCTTTTAGAAGAATTATGACGCTTCATGGTGAAAGCCGAGTTCCTTCGGAAGCCACGAGGTCGATGCCCCTTCTAACAACCAGAGCAAACATTTTTGTAGGTACATGGAACGTTCGAACAATGTGGGAGACCGGGAAGACCAGTCAAATAGCAACGGAAATGAGGAGATACAATTTGGCAATACTGGGAATCAGCGAAACCCATTGGACCCAAGCTGGACAGAAAAGGCTAGCTACGGGAGAGATGCTGCTATACTCCGGTCATGAAGAGGAAAATGCTCCACACACTCAGGGAGTCGCTCTAATGCTGTCCAAAGTAGCACGAAATGCACTTGTAGGATGGGAATCCCACGGATCCAGAATCATCAAAGCATCATTCAAAACAAAGAAGGAGGGGATCTTAATGAATATTATCCAATGTTATGCACCCACAAATGATAGCAACGACGACATTAAAGATCAATTCTACGATAGGCTGCAGTCAATCATAGAGAAATGCCCAAGAAAGGACCTCACCATTCTAATTGGAGATCTAAATGCCAAAGTCGGAATAGATAACACCGGATATGAAGATATTATAGGACGACATGGACTGGGATAGAGAAACGAAAATGGAGAAAGATTTGGAAATCTATGTGCATTCAACAAATTGGTCATAGGGGGCACAATATTTCCACACAAGCGTATACACAAGGCTACATGGATCTCACCAGACCACACTACAGAGAACCAGATAGATCATATTTGCATCAACAAAAAGTTCCGAAGAACAATGGAAGATGTGAGAACCAGGAGAGGAGCTGACATACCTTCAGATCACCACCTAGTTGTAGCCAATTTAAAACTGAAGCTAAAAAAGAACTGGACAACTGGACAAACAGCACTACAAAGGTTCAATACAGCCTTCCTTCGAGATACTGACAAACTCAATGAATTCAAGATAGCTCTCAACAACAGGTTCCAAGCCTTACAAGATCTACTGAAAGAAGAAACTAGTATGGAGGACAACTGGAAAGGCATCAAGGAAGCATTAACTTCAACGTGTCAAGAGGTTCTGGGCCTAAAGAAACACCATCATAAGGAGTGGATCTCTATAGAAACACTGGACAAGATCAAAGAAAGGAAGAACAAGAAGGCAGCAATTAACAACAGCCGAACACGAGCAGAGAAAGTCCAAGCACAAGCTGAATACACAGAAGCAAACAAGCAAGTGAAGAGGAGCATTAGAGCCGACAAGAAGAAATACGTGGAAGAACTAGCAACGACGGCGGAAAAAGCTGCTAGAGAAGGAAATATGAAACAGCTTCACGATACAACGAAGAAACTATCAGGGAAATACAGTAAACCAGAGAGACCGGTCAAAGACAAAGAAGGCAAGCCAATCACTGAAATTCAACAACAGCGGAACAGATGGGTAGAATACTTCGAGGAACTCCTGAATAGGCCGGCTCCAATGAATCCACCGGACATCGAAGCAGTGCACACACAGATCTTCCCACAGACGTCAACCCACCAACGAAGGAAGAAATCAGAATGGCCGTCAGACAAATCAAGAACGGGAAAGCAGCGGGTCCGGACAACATACCAGCTGAAGCAGTGAAATCAGACATCGAAACAACTACAAACATGCTTTACCTTCTATTCAAAAAGATTTGGCAGGAGGAACAAGTGCCGATGGACTGGAAAGAAGGGCACCTCGTCAAGATTCCAAAGAAAGGAGATCTGAGCAAATGTGAAAACTATAGAGGCATTACACTGCTGTCAATACCAGGGAAGGTCTTCAACAGAGTGTTGCTGAACCGGATGAAAGATGCAGTAGACGCCCAACTTCGAGATCAACAAGCTGGATTCCGTAAGGATCGATCGTGCACAGACCAAATTGCAACACTACGGATCATCGTCGAACAATCAGTTGAGTGGAACTCGTCACTGTACGTCAACTTCATTGATTATGAAAAAGCGTTTGAAAGTGTAGATAGGACACTATGGAGTTCCTGAGAAGATTGTCAACATTATCCAGATCTCATACGACGGACTACAGTGTAAAGTGGTGCATGGAGGACAGCTGACTGATGCATCCCAAGTAAGGACTGGAGTCAGACAAGGCCATCTACTCTCTCACTTCCTCTTTCTTCTCCTGTTCGGCTGGATTATGAAAACCTCGACATCTGAGGGAAAACATGGAATACAATGGACAGCTCAGAATCAATTAGATGATTTGGACTTCGCAGATGACCTAGCCCTCCTATCGCAGCAGTTTCTGCATCAGTAGGCCTCAGCATACACAAAGGGAAAACCAAGGTCCTCAAATTGAAGGCGGAGAACAGCAATCCAATCACTCTTGATGGCGAAACTCTGGAAGATGTAGAATCCTTCACATATCTAGGAAGAATCATCGATGAACAAGGAGGCTCAGATGTAGACGTAAAGGCAAGGATTGGCACAGCAAGGGTCGCATTCCTACAATTAAAGAACATATGGAACTCAAAACAACTTTCAACCAATATCAAAGTGAGAATCTTCAATACCAACGTCAAGGCAGTTCTACTGTATGGAGCTGAAACTTGGAGAACTACAACAACCACCATCAAGAAGGTACAAGTATTTATAAATAGCTGTCTTCGCAAGATACTCAACATCCATTGGCCGGATACCATCAGCAACAGCTTTTTGTGGGAGAGAACAAATCAGCTTCCAGCTGAAGAAATTAGGAGAAGACGATGGAAATGGATAGGACATACATTACGCAAATCATCAAACTGCATCACGAGACAAGCCCTAACTTGGAATCCTGAAGGGAAGCGGAAAAGAGTAAGGCCTAAGAACACATTACGTCGGATAATAGAAGCAGACCTGCTTCGGTTTGGGCACCCGGGCAGTATCACAGCCCTCACACATATCGGATGAGATTTGTGTGGCGCATATGTATTTGGTGCCTCTTTGTACCATTATCTATGTGTTGAAATAAATAAATAAAATAAATAGAAGCAGATGTGAAGAGGATGAATAGGAACTGGAAGGAGCTGGAAAGGATTGCCCAGGACAGGGTTGGATGGAGAATGCTGGTGAGCGGCCTATGCTCCTTCACGAGGAGTAACAGGCGTAAGTAAGTAAGTAAACGAGGGAGGGATTCGATAGTCAGCAAGATGACCTAAGGTCTTGAGAGAGGGATGAGGGTGGTTGTAACTTCCAGATTGCTCTCACCGTGGAAGGATATTTCTTCTCGAAATACCTGAAAAATAAACTGATCTTAGCGACCTGGAAGTGTAAACACAGGGACAACTGCTTGAGATCGGTAGCACATGGCCATCAAAACAATGAAAGGTGCACATAAAAATAAATTCGTTTACAAGCTATCATCACTTTAAGTTCATTAAAAATAGACGCAAATAAATATAAGCTTTAACATATTCATCTTTACAATAATTTTAACATCTCAGAGCATATAGGTAAACTGATAAAATTAATTTTGTTAAACAATTACTGGATTATGTGACAAATTACTCTTATACTTAGATTAACATACATGAGGAAACTTACTGTGAATACTTTTTCGGTAATTGACTTTAATGGATAAAATTTTTCACTATCAACAGTAAGCAAGACCATGCATGTTGTATCATTAAGATAGGTAACACTAGCATATAGAAACCCGCTACAGTTAAGATAAAAACCACAAGGAAAAACTATATAAAGTACCAGTAATTTAAAATCAATGCAGTAAAAGTTAGATAGTAATTTTTTACCGCGTATTGGTTGAAGTAGCATATTATTGTATCCCGACCCACTAGTTTAGAATTATTGTCCTCGACATGCAACCTAAAGATCTTGGGATTTAACTTTCTATAGAATCATGAGTGAGTATTGCTGAGAAGTTCCAACATAAGATTATGTGTCCATATCTCCTGGTTTTTAGTGACCTTTCGGTTGATATCGGTTCATGATGTGAAAAGGTGAAGAGAATGAGTAGTAAGAATATTTTGCGCATAGTTACACAATATTATAAATTACCATGGACCCTTCATACAATGTAGTACGGACAGATTGGTACATTTAGATTTTTAAAAAAAATAATAAATGTATAAATCCATAAAAGCAATAACGGTTATAAAGAGAGAACAGGTGATATATAATAAAAGAAACTTTGAGATTCAGAATGGTATACACAAAACGTCCATCTGACAGACTTGTTAAATGTTACTAAGCGTAACCAAACACTGCTTTGTAGCATTCCTGCGACTACACCCAGAATTCAGAATGGTTGCATCACCATTACTCTTTAAAAATACCTATATTCAGTGATAACATGTGGTGATACCATATGTAAATATGGCTTATCTTCAGCTAGTTTCTAACTTAACCCTATTTCGACCAATACTATGGGTTGAATTAGAATATGACATACCATGAGAAACACATAACTGGGACAATTCAATCAGTACAGTTTCAAAACATCAGTTAATTTGCCGTAAATGTCTAGAACTTTGTATTTCACCTCAACATTGCTTACTTTGTGACCATAGTGAATCCAACGGAAATACAGGAATACTAAAAGCCTTCAAGCAAAAGATTATTTAAAGAAAACCAAAAACTAGATAAATTTTGATTTCATAAATTAAAAACAGAATATCGACTAATTCCCTCTGACTATTTTCATAACTGTATCATGATTTTTATACTTACTTAGCATCGAATTTAGGCAGACAGATCGGTAACCAATGAGATTGTGCCGATTTGAAAGACTGTGAACTTCCAATTAGATTTAGAAGTAAATGAACATCTGATGGGGAAAGATGTTGATTCTTCATGCGTACAATGCTAACAATATCGTCTTTGTGAAATAATATACCGAACACCAAGCCCTAGAGATTAGATCATGAGAACAAAATCAAATAAATTAACGTTGAATGACCCTTTTATGATAAGAATGATAATCGTCCCAATCAGGCTATCTAGAATGATTTTTAGCTTAGAAACTCCGAAATTATGCAGAAGTAATGCATGAGTCAGTCAGTCAGATGCAACTTAGGACCAGGCACATATATGCATCGGTTCAAGTTACCACACCTCATTAGCACAACAACATGAACACCGAATTCATAGTAGTTACTTCAATGGTAGTAATATATAAAAGAAAGATTGCAGTAAGGATATAGTGCAGGAAGAAAGAATTGGTTCGTACAAAGAAAGATATGAAGTGATTTTAATCTCTTAGTTTCAGGGAAGACAGAAAGTGTATACACCGACGCCATTGTGATCGATTCTGAGCCATGCCACCAAGAGTCTCCAACCATTGGTTACGATAGTCACGCGGACCCCAACCAAGTAGTCTGCATCTACCAATATGACTCAGACTAGAAGTTAGTGATTTTAAGCACTGATGCCATGTTTTGGTTTGGCCGCCCCTAACTTTCTTCCAACCATCCCCAACAACGGTTAGAATTGCGCGTCGTGGTAATCGGTGTTCAGGCATACTCAACACGTGACCCAACCATCTCAGTCGATGAAGATTAACAACCTCATCAACCGACTTACCATCATTCCCTAATACCCTGCGTCTAACATCACTATTACCTACATGTGATCCCAGTAGATGCCAGCAATATTTCTAAGGCATCTGTGGTCAAATACTAGTAGCTTACGAGTATCTCCAACTCCTAATGGACATGTTTCGCTGCCGTAAATTAAAACAGGACGGACTGCTGCGCAGTATACTCGTCCTTTTATTGATAGACAGATATCTCGCCTTCGCCATAGGTGACGAAAGTTGGTAAAAGCCAAGCGAGCTTTTCGAATCCGTGCTGAGATTTCGTCAGACACCAACCCATTAGGGCTGATCAGACTTCCAAGATAAATGTTGTCAACGCGTCGACTACTTCATTCCCTATCCTTAGTTCAAATGTTGACGCAGACCAGTCCTGAAGCATTCCAAACGCATGCTTAGTGCTACCAAAAGACTCTGCATTTTATCAGCGTCTTCACCAAACAGGACTATATCATCTGCGTATTCAAAGTCGATAAGTGGACCTCCTGGTAGGAGCTCAATGCCTGAAAATTCAGTCTACGAGAACGTTATTTCCATCAATAGGTCGATGATGAAGTTAAACAAAAATGGAGAAAGTGGACAGCCTTGACGGACACCACTTGAGGTTGCAAAAGCAGATGACAGTTCGCCATAAGCTCTGACTCAACTGGTAGTGTTCGAGTAAAGAGCCTTCAAAAGTTTTATGAACTTCAGAGGTACGCCTTTCAATGACAGACACTGCCACAGAATCTCGCAGTCTACCGAGTCAAATGCTGCTTTTTAGTCAAGAAAGACCACCATTGTCGGACTCAATTAACAACAGGATTTAAACCAACAGACTCAAAATATTCATTTTAGGGGCTCTGGTAGGTGAACTAACAAAGGTTAATTTCCCTTCAATAGCTGATAAGTTGAACTCCAACTTTCAATATTAACTGAAGAAAGCTATCGTTTTTACAGTAGCATACCATGAGAAAAAGAATAACACAAAAGTTTGTCTTAAAAATTCGCAACTCTCAATATTTCTAGTAACTTCAATCTCTTTTACTCAAACTAACAACGATTTTGTAAAGCAGAACGTCAGTAGTTAACTATAGTTTCCGTCTTCATTGTTTGATATTATTGGTTATATTACGGATGTATCTCAATACTTAGAACAAAAGTATCTCATAAATATCTACACCAATTATACAATATGAAGTATGAGTTACTAATACTTCGTTATGTGACTGACTCCACAGCAAATAACAGTATTATACCGCTGCTTTATGCTGAATTCCTGTGACAGTGTTTCAGTCACCCGAACAAGAAAACTCGACGCAGACTAACAGAACACAATGATCAGCGCCAGTAGGTATGGCATGTACATTGTACATTCAAATTGAAAAGTAATTTTACAAGACTGCACTCAATCCTGGTAGCAAGTAGTTAGAAGTAGTTCGAATGTTCTAGTATTCCGGTCGCTGTGCAAATGCAAGGAGTGGCGAGAAAGATGAGACTAATTGAAATGTAGTATAAGCCGTAGAGGCCTATGCCAATCCGAACCATCTTTGGCACCCTTGTGATGTTAATCTGTATGTAGAAGGTCGGATATATAATACGAAGTTGAGAGCAGTTTCGTTCTATGCTCTATGAGGATGTTAAGTGGATCTCTGTGTTTGATTGTCGTTGTCGTCGAATTATTGCTAACATCCAGTGCCAACACCATGTCAGTAATAAGAGGGTTCGGCAACGCACGTTCGGGCAAAACGACGATAATTTACTTGGTGTTACTATCTTAAAACACCGGTGGCTTAAACATATCTTACGATTTCGTTCCAGACAATTCAACATTGTTGATTATTTGCTGACGCCAGGATTAGTTGAAAACAGCAGTGTTCGTTTTATGACACGTTCTCGTGGTACGAAAGAAACCGTACACGGCTAGCACCTCTCAATCCTTCACGGCTCTCTGGTTGATATGCTGGAGATGGAGCAACCGTGGCTTAAGAGGTTATCAGACATGGCTCAGAAAAGAAGCAATTGACCATCCAGCTATGTTTTCCTTTTACTTTCTTCGTAAAAGGTGAGAGGAACATTTTTAACCTCAAGCATTTCATCTGACTGCGCTTTTTTCAATCAAGCCGTTTCTCTCATTACTCTTATTCAGTTATTGTTTGTTTACTATACTCATTTCACTTTTTCTAACTCTTTACAATCTAGTTTTCTCACTGTGTGGTGCATATTTACTTTAGGGCCTCTTTGTACCAACATTCATGTTTAGGTAATAAATAAAGCTTGCTTGAAAAATCCGAAAAGTATATATTTAACAAAACTAACTCACACGTAATTTGGCATTTTGACAAATAATCTGTGATATTGCAGCTCTGCTATTTTCTGGAAGTGGTGTGCAGCTGATTGCATTCAAAAATACCCCAAAAGTCTCTTCTACGCGATTTATGATAGAGGATAAAAGTCGATTATCCCCAACAAGAAGTTTGCGTAAATCCAAATTAGCATGCCTTGTAAATTGTTTCTCCACTCTTTGCAAAGTTAATGAGCTTATTATCTAGAATTTTGACAAAACCATATAATAGCATTCAGATACCGACTTTATCGATTGATGATGTGTAATTGCTCTGCAAAAATTAATATAAACCAAATACACTTCATAGGTTATGAAGACAACTTCCTTTTTATGATGATATTCAAATTGAAGCTATTCACAAAACTTGATAGATCTTAACCTAGGATTAAATGATTCTATCATTTTATAAAATGCTGTGTTATCATTGAAACCCTTACGAGCGTAGATTTCAGACTAAAACTACTATCTCACTCTTCTCAAAAAAGGATACATTCCCTAGCCAGCTTACATTGTTAACTACAATAAATAAGGTACAGATATTTATAACAACAGATATTGATAGGAATATATTTGTATTTGACGGGCATTATATCTAAAACAGTCCAAAAGTATACGACATAATTGGACTTAGATAGTAATGAATGCACTATAGATACTATACGGTAAAGCACTATACTTAATATGATTATTCAATGGTGACGATTCTTCAGTTCAAAGTCGTGTATAAGATGAAGAAACTTCAAAAAGAAGTACTTTTTCCATGTCTGCTAAATTATTAGAGTTTTTGTGACCAATGAAGAATCCTAGACGATGTGCATCAGGAACTTTACAACCTTATATCCAGATATGATCGTGATCTCCAAAATCTTAGATCGATCCCATTCAATTAACTTATTTCTTGGTTTTGACTGAATCCTACATTTTTATGGCTGTTTTATTCATTAAATACTCTGATGTGTAACCTAATCTTAATAACTTAGTGTATAGTGTTGGCTTAATGATCAAAGGATTAAACCTGAGAGTAGGTTCCAGGTCTGAACAGTTTCGCTTCTTTTGATTTATGCAGCCGGGTAAGATCACTAGCCTTCACCTAGTGTAGTTGAAAACTGAACGCGAAAATCCTTGCTTTGTAAGAAAGTTACAACCAAACTTATTAGTTTTCTCATTTGATTTATACAATGTTATCAATCAGCCTTTACGGTCATCTGAATGTTCTGATTTCACCTTTTGGTAAGAACAATTTTTAGTTTGTTATCGTTGTCAATAAAACATAATAGTAAAGCCTAAAGTGTTTCGTTAAATACAATCTCAGCGATTAAACACCAATTGACAGGAAAAATAGTTCAAAAACCTACACTTATAGTTGACTGATGAATACACAGAAATAGTTGCGTCGTACCTAAGATCTTTCTCAAATAGACACTGGGGTAAATCTTTATTTGACATATAGCATGACCGATTAAAGGTCTTGACCAAATAATTTTGTCCAGCTATCTAAATAAGTGGTGACTACATCTAAACCGCAAAATATCACCTGATGACTAGAACTAGGAGTTTTTTCCTCGGATAAGTTCCAATGCGAATGGTCTAAATTGGTTATATTTTAACATCTATTCCATAAGTACAACATTTTTAACAAGCGAGACTTTTATGAAGTGTAAAATTAGTGCGAAATAAAAGACAACATAACAAACCTGGTTATATACATATTCGAGGCAGGTTCGCAGATGTGGAGTGGGTTCAGAAACTGGACTAAATGCCACTAATATAAGATGCGACCGAGAAACGAACAGGAACTTTTTGTCAATTGTATTGATTAACTGAAGCTCATCTCCAGAATTCGCAACGAATGAAACAAGAGCTTGCATGACGCTCATTACGGAGGATAGATCACTTTCATTTCCATACCGTGAATATATGGGTTTTCCAGCCTCGCTAAGAACAAAAACATGCAACAAGTCATTTGCCCAGCAAAGATCTTCTGAATTTGAACAAGTAGCCTGCCTAGTTGAAGATTTTGTACTGCTGCTATCCTCACTAAGTAGACTTTCTGATGATTGCGCAACATTTTCAACAATCTACGCTAATGCTTTACAGAAAACTTAACTACTTTAAGTTCAGTTGATTTCAGTGATTCGGATTCTTTCAGTATACGATCAACTGCTCCAGTGGTCATAAGTGCATCATCATCAATAAACGGTTCCGCATCAGATTCTGCACTACACGTCATATTTACTTCGCTTTTACTGGAACATATATCTTCATCCATTGTATAAGAAGGCACACAAATGTAGACAACAACGGAGATAATCGGCCAGTAGTTGGAAATGCTTTGGTTAAGATGACGGATGAAATCTACAACTTAAAAATAACAGGTAATCGTTATTTCTAAATGTTGGATATGAATGGTTTTCTTGACCATATTATTGAAGCAAAATAGATTAACTTCACAAAATAAGGTTAATGCGGAATTAATCGATTGGATGCATTTTACCAGTCGTTTAAGTGCTTTTAGCCTAAAAGGTTCAACTAATATTCTTAGCATTAGTATTATTATTCAAACACATAACATTTGGGACAACTAGGCACTTAAAATAGAATGAGTCACACGAAACATGGGGATAACACTGTGAGGAAGAAATAGTACACTTGAGGAGAAGTTAAAGAAATAATTGAACAAGATCACAATGTAATAGGAGATATAGTTCAGTTAACAATGCAAACGGGAAAATTCTCTTTCAGCTAAGTGAATTTCTTCCATTTTCCCTTTCTCAACTAGGAAACTTGCTCGAGAAAAATCCATTTCTTTACTCTTCCCACACGTTGACGGATTGAAGCCTAGTTATAAAATGAATAATTTAACCACCAGTTGAACGACTGTTTACGAACAGCACATTTGACAGATATTGTGGTGCTGTTTGAGAACTTGTTTGTGTATTCAGTGAGGACTTGTTGGTGGCAGACCGAATAAAAGGGACTGTCTATTGCAGATTAGAACCTATTTCTGGTGGTTAACAACTTTCAAAACAGCTATCACCAATCAGATTCCTATAGTCTTCTTTCTGTGACGTAGGACTGAACTCACAAAAATCATATTTTAAAATAAAGCATGAACAAATATTGGTGCAGAATAGTATGAATTCATATTATCTCGAGGTTTCTCGTCAGCTGCTTACAAACCAAAAATGTGACAGAATTTTTACATTGAGATGGAGTGAGAACAATTGACACAGATGAGTGTAAATAACTGGGTTACAATAATAACTATATATATATATATGCTAGAACAGGTCAGAGGTCAAAAGGAATTAATTCGTGACATTCTTCAAAAAACCAAAGCGAACTGTTTTAAATCAACAAAATCTCTTGTAGTATATTTTCTTTACCTGCTTATATTTTAGTGAACACTGTACCTCTCCATTCACCAATCGATTATGTGATTATTTATTCCACTTGCTCATAGCATTATGATTTCACTTTATATTGTGCGAACGTGGAATGGGTCATATAAACTGTCAATTCCGCTTAATGAGTGATTATTAGCTTTAATGATATAAAGTGTGAAATTCATCTTTTAACGAAATTTTTGAAAGGATATTTACAAAATTTTGAGGTGAGACTATAATTTATGGACGGAGATATAATTCATGAACGAACCAATGAGGTAAAAGATAACAGCTCTTGGACTCTATTTAGTGGTGGAACCCATATCATGTTAAATATATCGATGTAATACCAGTGTTGAAGCTGTTCAATAATTAAAACTATTGCTTTTTTAGAACAAATAGTTCCATAACTGAACACCTTTTGTCGACTACTGGAACTTGAGGAACATATATATATATATAACTCTGTAAAGCAATTGATCACAAGCCATCAAGGCCAAGCCTTGGATATGAAGGCTTATTAAACGTATAATTCACAAATGGTAAGAGATTATAAAAATCCAAAAAGGTCGGTAATTTGTGCACCACCAAGTTAATAACATTTTGGTTTGTAGAACATAAACTCCTGGGAAATCAGTATCGTACAGCAAATAAATAAGTCTTAATTTTGACTGAGGAACTTTCGAACTTACAGTTACGAATTTAAATAACCTACAGCCGACTAATCTCGCAGATGTCCATCCTGTACGTTGCGCATTACTTATAAGGAGCGCCTTGTTTGTCATCCCCACTCAATAATGCAATGATGATGCAAGGTGTCAGGATAACATATATCAGTTTATGTTCCATGATTTCATTACTTATTCTTTTGATGGCTTAAAATTTACAATTCCAAATTTGGTTTGAGCTAGCTTTTGGTTGAATGGGATGCGTTGCTCAGCATACTCACTCATCATTTGGTGCGGATGCGTGACCGGTCACATTCATCTAGTTCATTTCAATAACATCAATGCATTTAGCATTAAATGCCAAAGACTCACGGAACTACTGTTCTAAGGTAATTGTATACCGCTACAGCGATATTAAATCAATTTCAAAAATATGTGGATAAGAATTCATTTTTCGATGATTAACACCTTTCCAGACCACTTTAGTTAAGAATCTAACGATATTCTGTGAAAGTGCTTCATCAGTAGTGACGTTGTGTAGATCACCAGCGTTATTGGGATATGTGCATACTGTGCGTACTTCCTGTGTATTGACTGATCATTTGCGATTCCAAACAGCAATGATAAGATTTAAATAAACGATACTAAGTGAAGTTAGAATTTAAGACTTAAAACTATGATAAACGTTTCCCTCAAATATTGATATCAGTTATAATTCCCAAATCCTAATTAATCGTATGGATGAGTGAATTTCCTTTCAAAATCCTAGACTTACTATTTTTGGTTTTGTGATCCATCCTAAAATCATTGACTGGCATCCTGCAAAGTGAAGAAGTGTCCACTTAGCTATTGAGTACAGATGTAGGAAAATTTTCTCAGGGTCACTCCAGAGTCGCTCAACGGTAGTTCATAATTTCTACTCTTTGGGATTACATCTGGCCCCGATGCGATCAACTCCGATGTACTGAAAGAAGGTTCTCTGCTTCCCGCAACGTTCCTTTAGTGCACTGTTCTCGCATACTGTAATATAAGAAGTGGTTTTTGCTACAGAGAAGTTGATATGGATTACTCACGTCTCCAAGAGATGTTGACTCAGCAATTCTTAAATTTGCAGACCCTTAAATACTTCCTGACTACCTTCAAATAATGATGATGACACATGTGATTACCTGAAGTCTACAAATTTCATGGCATGGATTTGTATGAATATGGTCAAATTTGGGATTAGTAAATTTATCTTTGATACTATAATGAGAGACCTAATCCCAAAATTGTATACTTGTCCTAACGTGACTGTGAGATATTACATGCAATTCATACCATTTTCTACTCTGAATCATCCTGCGTGACAGTCAGCAGTACGATGCTTAGCGCTTCTTAAGAACGTATATGTGTCGGGTGCGGAATGATTATTTAATGTGAATAGGGATAAGCTACACAGAATGACCGTGCCTGAAAGACTGAGCCAAAACCATACCGTTCAATTGTTCCCGCGTTCACCATTTTTTGGACTTAAAGTAAATCTCAGTAATAATATGTTCGGCTTCAAGTCAATACTATTAAAAATTCACAAGGATTCTGTCTTATATATTTTGTATAGATGCCCTTCAGAAAATATCTTGTGAAACATTACTTTTTTGATGACGCTAAGCCTTTGAGAAGACTCTGGGACCAGAGCGTGATTTTCTATGCAAACCGAGGGTGAGTGTGTCAAACTGGACTGTAAGCACGTTTCCTACGTAATAGTGTTCGTCAAGTAGTCCTAACAATCAGGGAGTTTAATCAAGTTACACGTGACACCTTTATAATCAAATTATAACTACCTAGCTAAATTAGAAATCAGAAGTGAAGGAATTAGAGGGTATTTCTGGAAGGTTTTCATTATGTCTAGAAGCATTTTATTTAAGGTCGTTAGCTTTTGCTAGGGTTGTTTAGCACAGCATACTCGAGCACCTCCACCTAGGCGTGTCTGGCGAAAATAACGCAGTCAGCATAAAATATCGAAGAATCACAGATTTATTGATTCTGGAGATTTATTTTACCACAAGTTTTTCACGATTAAACTCGATATAACTTTAAGACCATGGGACGGCATTCCGTACCTATCTAGAACATTTTTATTTTCGTTTGTTGTATGTATTTCGGTTCTAGTCTGGAGATGCCGCCGATTCATTCTTATTAGACACAATGAATCGTTCATTTAAACTTATTTGAATGATTAGGTATTGAATATTCCTTAGGACGGATGCATATGAACTCAAGGTCGTTTATCCTTTAGGATGGCAACTTCTATAATCAAGTTGCACACACTTTCAGGGGCTGGTGACAATGGTTCACCTTGTTATTTACTTCAGGTGAATTATCACAACAAATGATATATGATTTTCAGGTAGATGAGTTTCACTGCCTTCTTGACTGTGGTTGGTGTGAGAAACTGGATAGTGACTATGTGAAAGAGGTTTCAAAGTGGGCCAAACATGTTGATGCCGTGCTTCTTAGTCATCAAAGTTTACGACACCTTGGGCTGCTTCCATATCTTGTTGGGACATGTGGACTTAACTGTCCGGTGTACGCCACGACTCCTGTTTACAAAATGGGGCAAATGTTTTTGTACGACTTTTTCCAGTCAAGACATGCTTCTGAGAACTTTAGTCACTACACGTTAGATGATGTTGATCTAGCGTTCGATCACGTGCATCAAGTTAAGTATCAGCAGACAATCAGTCTTCATGGTCGTGGCCATGGTTTATGCATAACCCCACTTCCTTCTGGTATGTAACTTGTACAAAAATTATTTTCTGACAGGTCACACACTTGGAGGAACAATTTGGAAACTAGTTAAAGAAGACACAAGTATCGTTTATGCTTTAGATTTTAACCATAAAAAGGAGAGACACTTAAATGGAGCTACCTTTGATGCTTGCATACGACCACACTTACTAATTATGGATGGTTCGAACACCTTATATACACAGGTATGTTTTCTCACTCTTGACTAGTTTGTTTAGCCTAGGAGAAAAGATCGTGATGAAAATCTACGTCAGACAATTTTGAAAAGTTTAAGGCGTGGTGGAAATGTTCTTATTGCCGTGGATACTGCTGGAAGGTGTCTTGAAGTAGCCCATTTTTTAGAACAATGTTGGTTAAACCAGGTTAGTTCTAGTTCTAGGGGCTATCACATATTTGGTTTAAAATATTTTATTTCTGACCTAGTTATCCTGATCGTATGCCAAACTAATTTACTTACCATATTTTGATGTCAAAAGTGACTAGTATCTCTACTGCACTCCCATGTTACACTTGTGGGTTAATAAACCACTGTGTTTAATTTCGCTACATCTTTCCTCCTACACATACTGTGTGTGCAGAGCACACTTTATTAGGGTTGTGAGCTATCCCTAACTACAGTGTTTGCGTGATGCATACATTCTAAGTCTGCCTTGTTTCGTATCACAGCTTCCAATTGATCGTTTTGTTTTCATCTGGCTTCATCCGTTTGTTTGGGGTAGTGTCTGACCAAGCATTATTTTCCGTCAATAGCGTTTTCACTGCAACAGATTAACTGGTTTAAAATAGCATCGAAACCCATAGGATTTGGTTTGTGCCTTTGTGTGGCCTGAAAAGAAATACCCTGATTTATCGTTTAGTTCAAACCATTTCCGTACCAATTTAACTCACGTCAGCTCGTCGGTTTTGGAGCTTAAACTAATGGTTTTAGTCACTAATCATGAAACTTGTAGTTTCGCTAAAACGTTTCCTATCACTATACCTAAGAATTTGTTAAAACAAGTGTTACTGTTTGTACAAGATTCTGATATTTCATCGGATAAATTATTATTGTTATTATACTGCGTTATTCATTCTTTTTTTGGCTAGGAATCTGGACTAATGGCTTATGGATTAGCGATGCTAAATTATGTGGCTTTAAATGTTGTGGACTTTGCAAAGTCAATGGTTGAGTGGATGTCCGAAAAAGTAATGCGATCTTTTGAGGATCAGCGAAGTAATCCGTTTCATTTCCGACATATGCAGTTGTGCCACACGTTAGAACAGTTAGATGCTGTTTCAGAGCCTAAAGTGAGCTGTTCATTTTTACTTGTTATTTCAGGTTGTTCTTTCATCACTTTCCGATCTTAGCTGTGGATTTTCTCGTCAGTTGTTCGCTGAGTGGGCCGATAACGACCTAAATACAGTAATTCTAACTTCCCAAGAATCAGTTATCACCGGAGTTGATGAGTCGTCCAGTCAAAGTTTAATATCTCGACTTATCGGGTTAGCAAAAAAAGATAATGATGCACGAAAAGATCTGCCTACGAGTTCAACTGGGACTTCGATCCTTCCTCTAACATTATCACAACGAGTATCGTGTTCACAAGCAGACCAATCTGGGTCGGATATTCCACACTTAAAAAACTCAGCTAAAGGGTTTTCTTTCTCTCAGAACACAAACTCAACGATTAGTGATGCATGCGACGAGCTCAATTCTGAAACAGAACCTGGAAACACAAGTGCCAGCTATACAGGTATATTTTCTATACATTTTTTTAGTTAATACATCCCTTAATCTAAAAAGCAATCCATAAAATAAACATTATATGTATGTCAAAGTACTTTCATCAAGTGCCAAGAGACTACCGAATGCATCGTTACACTATTTTTGGGTTCTTACAACTTAGTTGGTTAAAACAACATCAGGTTTAACTCAGCAAGAGTCACTGCAAGTCTTGCCGCAGTTTTTCACATAAACAGTAGTGCTATCTTTGTTACATGGAATCAGTCACTAAGACTTTACTGACATGGATTATTGCGTATACGACCATATGTAAGTACTTCGTAGTTGCTTTTAGAACAATTTTTACCTTGGTTATTAGTTATTTCCAGTTTTAATGTTTGTCACATAAACTCGGTAATCGTTGAAATTACAGTAATTAAAGCCTCACCAGCTTTCGATGGACATGGCATACAAGTGACTCAGTTTCGTTGTGATTTTAACAGAGTTTATTCTTCTAAACTCTCGAATGATAGTCTAAGGATGGTTGATACTCGTCTTAAAGCTGCAAAAGCAAGCTGGAACTACAGGACCATTCTACATCGGAGTTGTCAGATTGTAAA